ACATGCATTGTCCCCATCCTCTCAAGAATTTGATGGATATCTTTGGGGGTTTTATTCAGCCTTCCACAGAGACATCCCCACCTCCTTCTTGGGCCTGGAGAGAATCAGACTCATGAGAGGACTGGCTAATAAACAGAAGGATTTAAATCTGGATTTTTTTTTTTTTTTTTTTGCCTCCGAAGCCCAAGTTTTCTCCATGGCATCAAATTGCTCTCGTGAAATAATTGTGAACTTCTGGATCAAGAAAGTTACAAATTTACCCAAGATCCCCCAGACCAAAATAGATCCCCAAGCTCCAGAGGCATTTAGAAGCAAGTGCCTGCTGCCTGCATGCAGGGTGACAGGGCCACCTGCAATCCTTCCTGTGGCCACAGCCCTCTGCCAGCTCTCGTGAAGCAGGCTAAGTCATTCCAAACCTCTGACGGTCAGAGGAGGGAGTGAATCAAGGCAGAAGGAAGGTTTGAGTAGTCAGCAGAGTTTTGTCACAGCTTTAAAAACACCACTGCTGTTGTTATCCTACAAGCAGTGGGTCAAGAGTCCAGTTTATACGGAGGCAAGAGAGCACATTCATTACATTATAAAAAATACCTGTGCTGGCTAAATGCTAAGTCAGATAATATCAAATAACACAACAGCCCCGGCTCTGCCCTTTTTTGTGTGTCGTCACATGTAAATCCTAATTGCTCTCATCTCACATGAATTCCATTTACCCTTCTAAGTTCTTCCCAGAGCTACAACCTCTCGCCATCTGTGTGAGCAAAGCAAATGTAAGCGATGTCTCTCTCACAATCACTTGGAGCTTTCAGCAAATACAAATTCACATGTATTTCAGCAGCTGCTCCCTGCTGTGGTGCTTGTGCACAGAGATCTTGGTAATAATAGTCCACTTGAAGGGTGTTTTTGTTTTGTTTTTGTTTTTGTTTTTTCCATCAGACAGGTGTACTTAGCTTTACGGGAGAAGCATTCCTAAAGAATTGGTTATACAGTAAATTTTGTAAAGCAAATCTTGTTTTAACATCGATTTCCATTATGTCAGAAATGGTCTCCCAAATCTTTTGCTCTTACTGTTTATTTGTGATGACTGTGCAGACTAAGAGGGGAGGAGTGAATTTTTTAAGGGCCAGCTGCCTACCTGGAAAGGATAGTCGAACAAACCAGGAGTTCCAAGCTGCAGAGTATTTCTGAATCTCTCCGTGAAATGACCCAAGGCCTGTTCCAACTCACACCACCTCTGACTTCTCAGCTACTGAGAATTTGACGGTGAGGCAGAGGGGCAGACACATCACAGAGAGATACCAAACTGAGGCATGGTCTTCCTTCAGCAGAGGTGCAGGAGCTGGGGGTAGCTCTGCAGGGTGTGAGGGGCACCCATGCAGGCGACCTGGTTAGGTTAGGAAGGCAGAGGGGTGCAATGAAAGCTCTTGGACTTTTGGTAACAAACTGAATGGAGGGTAAATGCAGGCTTCACTCAGGCCAGGCCCACTTATCCTCAGGCAAGTCAGGCTCAGTTTTCTGAGCCTGTTTCCCCATTTGTAAAAGAAGGGTAGTAATACTTACCTGGCAGGTGGTTGTGAAGATTAGACATAATCTGAAAAGGCCAGGTAATGAATGTTTTCAGCTTTGCAGGCCATATGGTCCCTGGCCCAACAACTCAACTCTACCCATGTAGCATGAAAACGGCATGGACAATGCATAATGACTGGATGTGGCTGTGTTCCAATAAAACTTTATTGACAAAAACAGACAGCAGTCTGAATTTGACCCACAGGTCTGTTTGCTCTCAAATCCATTCACCACCCTTGTGTGCAGCTCTTTGGATCACAGGGAAGTGGCCTCTGCAAACTACAATTTTTATCCTCCTTTGCCAGTTAGCTCCTAGATGGATTTAGCCAATGGGAGGAGTGGGTGGAAGTTTGGAGACAGGTTCCTCTCTGTTTGGCCTGTGAATCTGGGAGCATCTATCCCACGAGACATCCTGTCCCCTCCACAGCCCTGACTTCCAGGTCCTCAGCATCTGGGCTGTAGCATCATCTCCTCGATTTTTCCTCCACCACCTTCAGCATGGTTGCAGCTGTTCTCTGGGCTGCCTCACCATCCCTGCTGGCTTTCAAGTTCTGGCCTTTTTGTAACTCATTCCTCATGTTCAGTGACCTCTAGTGAACTAATTATCTTGAGTTCATTCATTTTCCAGACTGGACATTGACCAAAAGAGTTAGTTCTCCATAAATGGTTAACATTCTTAAGTCATTCATCTAAACACTGGGTAGTTTTAATTTCATGAGGCAACATTTCTGCAGAAGAAATATCTGTAAATAGGTTCTTATATAGTTCCTCCAAGGAGAAATGCAGACACTTAGTCATTCAGTCACCAAGCAATTATGTGCCAGGCATTGTGCAAGGCCATGGAAATACAACAGTGAACCCACAGGTGTACAGTCTCATAAAGTAGTTGATGACTTTATCCATCACCCAAACCAACCACTTCATATTACACACGAGGAAAAAAAGACCCCAAAGATAATCAAAGCTAAGGTGGATTGGGAATGTAATTTATGCCAAGCTCTCATCTAAGCACTTTGTATGAATTAACATATTTAACACATATGACAGCCCAATGAAGTAGGCAATATTATCTTCATTTTAGTGATGACAAACTGAAGCACACAGAGGTACAATAATTTGTCCGAAACCATTTAGCTGAAAAGCAATGGGGCTGGGATTTGAACCCAGGCAGTCTGGCTGCACATCTCAAGCTTCTAATCATGCAGTAGGCTGCCTCCCTCCCAAGAGAGTAAAAGATGTGTTCAAGGCCATGGTTAGTGGCACAGTCATGACTAGGACCAAGTTCTCGAGTTCTAATGATATGTTTCAACGATTAGTGAATTGGCAGCCAATGCCACAATCATTAAGGCAATAGCCATCTCTCTAGAAGAAATAACAAAGAATCATTGTATGTCTCTTTTTAGTCTTTAATACACTCTATAGATGAATACAGAAGTCGATAAGCAATCTGCTGTACCAGCCATCAATAAACACTTTGCAAAATGTCCAAAATCCAACAAATACCGGAAAAATCATAAAATCAGAATTCTGTAGGTCACCTAGTTAAGTGGTTCTGAAATGTTCTAAGCCTTGTAAGCCTGTCTTTAAATTTCTTTAAATCAAACCTCTAGGGGATTCTGGGATGTAAAGCAGTTGGCACATAAAACGACCTGCCCCAGTTGGAATGGGTGGAAGATGCCAGAAGTTTCCCCTCCTTGTCTCTGGCTCCATTTTCCACAGTCCCCGAGTGGACTGCCTGGGGCCCCGTTCTAAAGCCGTCAGTGCCAGCTCACCCCAGTCTCTCTAGCCCCTGAGAAGTGGCAGGGCTTCAGCAAAGTCGTTTGGATCAGTCACGACCCAGTCAAGATCAGAACCCAGAACTCTGTGTCCCTCATCAATGCTCTTTTCCATGTCACCACCGTGTGCTCTTTCGGCTCAGTTTTCTGGAACCGGGAATATCTTTGCAGCAGGCAAATGCATGTGTCTTTTGAGCCCATCCACGTGGGCAGCAATCAAAGAAGCCGGGATGAGCAGCAGAGGGAGGAAAGACAAGCAAGGCTTCAGCAAACCTGACCGAGCAGGCCTAATTTCTGAGGCTCTAACGATGCCCAGCTATGCACTCAAGGCTGTACTGAGATAAATGGGAAAGAAAGCCGCTCTCTGATCTACTCGGGGCAGCACTCGAAACTGCTCAGCAAGAAACATTTCCCAAGATCTCAGAAGCCGGCGCCGCTGGGACTGCTGTGAGTTGGCGACGCGCGTCTGCATCCCCAGGCTTGCTGTTTCGAGTTGTTTTTATGGCAGAACAGCAGGGCTCCCGCAGCGCTGGAGCCGGGAATCAGAGAGGACCCGCGGGTTTCCATGCTGCGGTGCCTTTTACACATTACGTTTCTCTGAGGCTTTCCCTGATGCAGCTGACAACTTCTAGCTGCCATTTAGACTTTATGGGGGTTCCCAGTTCTCCGCAGGGAGAGAGGAAAGCCCTGGAAACCCCCAGCTTTGAGACAGCTCGCTTAGCCTAGGAGACCAGCGATGCAGAGACAAACCCTTGATGACTGAGCAGGGCGGGCTGCCCGGGAGTTTTTGTATCTGCAATACATGTTCCGACCCAAGGCCAGAGCATCGTCACTAACCAAGGTAATTTCACCTCCAAAACTCACTGGCCAGGTTTCACATATGCAGCTACATCATCTCCTTGTTCAGAGTTCCTCTTCTTCTAAGTAAACTATATTACCCAAATTTACTCTCTGTGGAACCAAAAATGAGATACATAGTTCCTTTTATGAGTCCTTTACTCTGAATGGTTTATTTTCTTTGTCATTAAGGTCTGGTTAAAAACGCAGAAGTTTTGCTTGAATTATCATCAAACCAAGTCTCAGAAAGACATAAGGGATTGACAGTTTTCCACTGATGGATTAGACGCTTGTTGTTTTTCTGGCTTTTAGCAGCTCTTCAATCTAACTTGTCATCCCCATGTTCTTCCCATCCAAGATGACAATGCAAATTGGACCCAGAGGGTGTACTTACATAGCTGCCCTTCCAGAAAGCCTGAGTACCTAATGGGTTGTGAGGTTATCGGCGTGTTGTTCTTGTTGTTGTTTCAAGTAAATTCTTTTAAAATTCCAGTAAATTGGTTAAGTTCATGACTTGAAGAGAAAAAAAAGAAAAAAGAAAAAGTCAATGTCCTTAATTGCTCTCTCTTCTCTTAGGGTGTTCTCCCGTGGGAACAGGCATCACTGGACTTGGCCGGTGGTCCAACATCGTCTGCCTTCCTCTAATGGTCCAAGCGTTCCCTCTGCCTGTTGTCAGAGCCTTTCTGTAGTCACAAGCTTGACTTTGGAAACTTCACTCAGGAGCAATGACCAAGGCCCACAGAGCAGCAGCATGTCCATCATTCAATTCCACCTTCTTAAAAAAGGTGCAATAAAGTTAGCAGTGGTCATCTCTAATTGATGGAATTTGGGGGGATTTTCATTTTCTTCTCCTTTACTTTTTTTCTAATTCTATTATCAAGTATTTCCCATGGAATAAAGGAACTATTATCCTTACTTTTGTAATAATCATCCCCTTGCATTTTGTTCTAATTCGATCACACTCTTATATCTCTGAGTAATTTTTTTTTAATTTGGCTGGTTTTGAAATTTCATTAAAAAAACATACATTTTTTACATTTTTACAAGTTTATTAAATAAAGGGCAAAGCTGTGATGATTCAGAAGGAAGTTGTCCAGAACTACACTATCCAATATAATATGCCACCAACCACATGTGGCTGTTGAGTGCTTGTAATGTGGCCAGTCCTAATTGAGATGAACAGAAGTGCCAAATGCACACCAGATTTGAAGGCATACTTTAGTATGAGAAAAGGAACGTGGACCCTCTCATTAATGCTTTTATATTGATTACTTGTTGAAATGTTAATATTTTAGACATCTTGTTTTAAATAAAATGTATCATCAAAATTAACTTCGCCTGTTTATATTTTTTGAATGTAGCTACCAGAAAACTTTAAATGACACATGTGGCTTGCGTTGTATTTCTATTGGATGGCACTGGTTTACAAGCTCTCTGAATTCCTTACATTCAAAATGGCCACCAAAACCACGAAAGTTCTAAATAATTTTTGGTGACTTTCAGACATCTATCCCAAGCCAATTATGTTGCTTTCTTTTTCTTTTTGACTTTCCCTTAGTCTAGCTCCTTATATTATTAAGGTTATCCTGCATCCCCTGCATTTTTCTCCTATATTTCCTTTACCCGTCCACCAAAATGAACATTGTTCCAATTTCTCATTGCCCGCACAGATGGTCAGTCAGTGTTGTCATCCTCCAAGTCCTTTGACCTCCCCTTCTTTCTCTCCCGCTGCTCTTCTCCTGGCCACACCACCCTTCATTCCTGTACCTTGGGTCCTGCTCTGGTCCTCTGCCCCATCTTCTCATCAGAGACATCCCATAGTTCTGGCTTCCATGTGACTGACCATCACGGCATCACTTGCAGCCACGTCACCATCGCAAGAAGAACTTTCTCTTTCCTAAAATAAAAGGCTTTATGTCCTTTTTATATATAATTGACAAATAATATTTTATTAGTTGCAGATGTGCAACACAATGATTTGATATTTGTATATGCTGCAAAATGATCACTATAAGAAGTCAATGTTACTGTCCATCACCACACAAAGTCACAAATTTGTTCCTTGTGACGAAAGTTGGTACGATCTCTTAGCAGCTTTCAAATGTACAATACATTATTGTTAACTAGTCACCATGCTGTACATACATCCGCAGGATTTATTTATTTTATAGCTAGAAGTTCGTACTTTTTAATCCACTTCATCTATTTTACCCACCCGCACCTTTTTTAAGCCTTTTTTTTTTAAGGCTTTACATCTTAAAAGAAAACAAAACAGCTCATCCTCATTCCTGCTCTCCAGCAGGTTCCTGGAAGAGACAGGGCATCCATCGTGGTGCTCATGATGTCATGATATGATATGACACTGGATTTAGAACCCAAGGACCTCTCTCTGGTTATGTGTGTGCCTTTGAGCAACTTGCTTCTCCTCCCTGCAGCACAGAGCCCTCATCTGGGAAGGGGGACTTTTGTACACAGTAGTTTCCAGGGTCCCCTCAGTGATAACATTCTATAGCAGAAAGTTGATTGTTTGGTCCCTCTTATTTGTCACTTTCCTCCTCAACCAAAGCAGTACTTACCTCACGGATAGGGCTAAGCACAGTGCTGGACACTTCTTATTTCAGACAAGCATGCCCGTTTGTGCAAAGACCAGTAACAGGAGCACATTATGCTTATTTTGAAGTGTACACTTCAACTCAGTAGTTATTACTTCAGAAAAGTGAGCTGAATTTATTTTTACTTCCTGGGATCAGGCCTTCTCTCAACGTCCTCTCTTACTGGCTGGTTCAGATCAGTTTCCGATGACAATGTGGATGGTGGCGTCACAGCCCAAGCAGGACTCTTTCAGCCTCTCCTCCACCTCCCATTACTTCTCTGCCCAATATCCATCTCATCAAACCTAAAATAAGTGAAAGCAGAATCTTAAATCATCCTCTTGCTCACTTTGGAGACACTGCTTCCACCTCTTCCTCCGTCAAGCCTGGAGTCCTAGCATTGTCTGAGATCATTTTCCACCTCATCAGAGATGCTGTAACTGCATGGTCAGATTTGGCAGCCGCTAGCCACATGTGACTACTGAGCATTTTAAGTGGGGCTACTCCAAATTGAGATGTGCTAAACATGCAAAATATACCCGGATTTCAAAAAGTAAGTGTAAGTATATTTCCATCACCTCCCCATACACATATTTCTTCTACTGTTTTTCCTAAAATGGTTCTAGAATGTGAACTATTTTGATAACACTTGCAGTAGTTGGCCATATGATCGTTTGGAAAGATTTTTAAATGTTTCTTGTTTGAAGCAATGTTTGTCATTTTAAAGATTTTTCTGATTTAATAGAGATGTAATGGAGTTTTACCTGTGTTTTAATTTATTTCATTACTTGCTAGTGAGGCTATGAAATTATGTGAATTTCTACCTTTTTGCTTCATTCTGTCAACAGACATAATTAATAAACAATCTACAGTAGTAATACAAAGTAAAAATTTTAAATTAATTAAAAAATTAGAAAGGAATGTGAAATATCTCATTAAACTTTTTAATATTAATTACACATTGAACTGATAACATTTTAGATATATTAGGCTAAGCAAAAATATATTTTTAAAATGAATTTCACCTGTTTATTTGACTTCTTCAATATGGCTACCAGAAAATTTTAAGTCACATACACGATTTGCGTTATATTTCTGTTGGATAGCCTTGCATTTACAGTTACCAGCTTCTGCTGTCTACTACCCTAGAGTAATAGCACAGAGCCTTCCTTGTAAACTACCGTACTACAATCAGTAAACTGAACAAATGGGTATCTTGGGTATAAGAATAAAGGAGCGTATTTTCTTCTCCCATTGTCTTTTGTAAATTTTAATTCTTTTTTTTTTATTGAAGTGTAGTCAATTTACAATGTTAGTTTCAGGTATACAGCAAAGCGATTCAGTTCTACACATACATATATATACACATATAATTTTTTTCAGACTCTTTCCCATTACAGCTCATTACTCCCATGTCTTTTACCTCTTGCAGGAAGACCAGGTTGGTTTTTTCCTGTCCCTTGAAGAAAACCTGACTTTTTGGTCACTCTAATGTTTTAGAAAATCTCAATCATTTGTATCCCAAAACACGGTTTCAATTTGTACTTAAAATTCCAAATACACATATCAGTAAAATCTTCCAACTTCATTCAAAGTTTGGAGAACTTACCCCTCTTTAGCTAGATCTGCTGTGGAGAGGGGGGCGAGCCACAGTCAGGGAAGGGGGTGGTGCTGTCACATTCCCCTTTTTCTCCCAGTCACTCTTGCCTAACTTGCTATCCCCAGGTTTCTGATTCCTCCAGTGCTGGAGAGCAAGCAGGGAGGGAGGTGTGAGCTGTCGAGAGCAGGTTGAGGGCTCTCCAGACCCTGCCAGTGTTCCAAGCTGGCTCTCCCTCCTAGAGACATTCCACGAGTTCTTTTGAAATTTCTCTCGTTGCTGAGGACCACTAACCTGAAATTCCATTAGTGTCACTGATGTGTTCTCCTCCAACTTTTTGCTTACTCTTTCTGCCGCCTGGTGGAATCCAGCAATGCTCCAAAACTCTCTCTGATGAGGCTTCTTCACTTTTTTCTTAAAAGCAGTTTTTATTGAATATAACATACATATAAGTGTACCACTTGAACTGTCACTAGGTGAGTAAACACGTGTGACCATCATGTGAATCTGTCCCTTTTTCTAATGGCCTCTCTGGGACAGGGTCTGAAATGCCAAGCCTTTCTGAGTGGTGTGGCTGCATCTGGCCCTGGGGCCGCTCATGCATCCATTGCTTCCACAGATGCTGAGAGGACATGCCCAGGGCCGTAGCAGCCCCTCCTTCTCTCCCACCACCAGAGCAGGAAGCCAGCTTTATGTTTCTTCAGGTGCAACTCAGACCCTTGTCCACCCAGCTAGTAGGACTGACATCAAGCTCACTGAGTGGGATCAAAACCCCTCCATTTGTTTTAGGGTGAAGGAGAGCCACCTCTCACCCCTTTCTCGTGGTGGTGGTTGGGGGGTGGCACAGGGACTTGTAGCATATCAAAAATAAAATCCTTTCCCTTCATCGCCACTCCATGTGGGGGAAGGGGAATCCCAGCCAGTTCACAGCTACCTGCTTTGAATGTGCTCATCTTGGTCTGGTGCCTCACTTGGTGTCTTATATCCATCGTCATAGGATTTCAGCCAGAATGCCCATTTTAATGTCCTGTTTTAGCATCAAAGGTGCCCAATCATCTTCTCTTCTCCATTCTCCCCTCCAATTATTTAAAAAAAAAAAAAAAAGAAGCAGGAGGGCGTAATTTCTGTCCAAGTACTACAGTATATTTAATTCAAGGCCATAAAGTTAGCATCTACCTTCTTACTAAGTTCCTCTTGCTGTGGGAGATTCAAGTGGGTCATCCACAAAGTCAAGGCACCAACCTTCAGCCACACACTAGCGCAGGACAGTAGCCCAAGTGAGGTTGCTGGAGGGTGGCTCTTTGGTTCATCCAAGCTCTGCCATTTACTCACCTCTTGAAGTCCTGGTTCCACATCTGCAATGATATGCTTTGCTTCGCAGGGGTCGGGGGAAGAGTGAGGTGAAACCCTGGTAGGTGCTTAGTGCACAGGTGCAGGGGTATGCACTGTCCGAAAGCAGAGCATTCGCACAAAACATTTCTGAAGCCAAAATGATGCAAAGCAAAGAAGCAATTACCTTAGGACCTGCCTTGCTAATGGAGGCACAAAATAATTGAGACCGGCATAGATGCTCACAGACACGGTTCAAAGCGATGCCGAGCGTAGTTCCCGGGGAAGGAGCTTGGCGGTGCCGCGCTGACCGCTGGGGGTGCACGCTGCCTCTGTAACCACTCAGCGAAACAAATGCTGAACGTTATTTTCACTTTTTGCTTTTTTTTTTGTAAAAGTGAAAATCCTCTGCAGAGAATACAGGCACTAATGTTAAGTCTTTTGTAAAAGCGAAGCGGCACAAAGCAAACTTTCGAGAAGTGGGGGATACCTGTAACCTGTACAAGTTCCCATGATTTTTCTGGCTCACAAGACAGTGTCAGCTTTCCTGTCTCTTCTTCCAAATCCCTTCTTAGGGTACTCATCTGTTACGTAATTTTCTATAACTATCTCCCACAGGAAACCTTCTCCTGGGTCTAAAGAAGAGATGAGGAATACTCTAAAACAAGAAATAAGGAAGAATAGCCTAAAAATCATGTTCACTTCTGCATAGATCAGAGAGCTGTAAAGACCCTGAGATGCCATCTCTCCGGTCCTGACCAGGACTGTGATACACGTCAAGATCAATCTTTCTGACTTTCCATGTTTTATGTGAATGAGTATCAGTGCTCCTAAAACTCAGAGTATTTTTTTCTTCACCAAATATGCATTTTTCCAAGCAGATTCAGTTAAAATTCTGCTGCCCTTGAAAGAACTGATACATGGTATAGTTTATATGGTACTTTGAACTTACAAGAAGTTCTGTTCTTAAAACTGCTGAATCTGCATCATTATAGCTTGATGTTTCTCTGGTTTTTAAGCAAAATAAAAGGTCTCGCGGTCATCCGCCTCTACCATTGACTTCCATGTTTCTTTAAAGATTGTCACCATCCTCAACTTCTCAGGGCTGCTTCTCAGACAAGGCAATCTGCAGACGCAGCAGAATTGCTGAGCAAACAACGAAACGGCTATTACAGGAGCGGACAGGATGCAGTGCTTGGCGTCTGGTCCAGGACCAGAGAATGGGCTACAAAGCTGCCCAGCCTATTCCAGAATCCCACACATGTTTTCTGAAGTTCATGCCTGGACAATCGCATTGTAAACAGGAAAAATGGTGGCCGTCCTTGGTCCATTCCTAAAGCTCAGAGCCAATGTCGATTGTGGAAAAGTCTACACAGGAGAACTCTGCCCTCAGTCAGGGACGCTGGCCAGAGAGCACGCAATATGTGCGGTTACTTAAAAAGGGACCAGGACAAAAAGCACTAGAGGGTCATATGACCCTCAGTTGGGAAAACAACTCAGTACCAGTCCTGCTGGCAGTTGGGCATCTCAGGGAGGGGACCATCCCATGCTGTGGGAAGGTGTCGCTGGTCCTGCGTGGGTCTTTTCAACCACATTCATACACCTGGCAACTGGGTTTCATCAAATGAACCATCGGGAATGTGAAAGGCCAGAAATATAATAGAAACCAAAGAGTTTCTATAGTTGAGAGGGAGAATGATGTCTGAAAAGCAGTGCAGAGTTGCTTCTTGTCTGGGCCAGGGGCTTTCTGTGCTGGACAGAAAAGGAGAATGTCTGCTACTATTTGTAGGACATAAAACAGGAGCAATAAAAGCTGTGTTCGGCACCAAAGGACCTATTGTTATAAAGTACTACAGAATATCTCTGTCTGTTCCTGTAGTTTATGGAAGTTCCCCGGTGGAAGCTGCAGTCTTGCCTTTTGGTTTTTGTTTGTTTGTTTTTTCCTTCGAATGCATCTCCTAGACTCCTGCATGTTGGTCACAGGGGCCAGGAGAGGTCATCTTGATGCATCCTTGCCCTTTGTACCCAGATGGATAGCTTATGCTTTGCGCACAGAAAACATCTTTGGGAATCTCTTCTCAGTTTCCACTTGCCTAAACCAATTTGTGTTCCATGAGAAGAAATAGACAATGAATTCCTTAACAGAACAGGAGACCCTTCCAAACACACACACACACACACACACTCTCACACACGTCCTCACACTAATCTTACCCTAAAACCTCCAGGCCATAGAGAACAACTCCAAGCTCAGTCAACATCTAAGTAGAAGTAATTTTTTAATTAAAACAAACACAAATTCATCCTTCACATAATGATATCAAGGCCAATCCTCATGGAAACTGTGTGGCAGGCAGCAACGCATGTGAAGTGGAGGTAAAGGGAAAGATTAAATGAAAATATATATTTGAGTTGGTTATTAGGAATAATAACATTTCCAAGAATGGGTCACTTGGGGAAGCAGCTGATTTGGCTGGGGATAAACAGGGCCTCCTAGGTGTGCCCTGAGAAGAAACCATCAGAACTTAATTTTAAATCCAAAGATTATAATAAGAACTTGGTTATTTAAAGTCACTGCCAAAGAGAAGGGAGCAAGCACAAGCCAGCCCCTAGAGGACAGATGTAAGATGCACACGTTGCCCTTGAGTTCAGAAGGAGTGGCAGAGACTAGTTATGCTAAAGCTAATTTCTCCTGGTCTTTTCAAATGCCTTAGCAATGGGAACCCTCTAATTATATGGTTCTCTGCCACAAAGGGTGTGACAATGAGCTTCTAAGATCGGCATTAATGTATGTATGGGGCAGAAAGGAAAGAAAAGACTCACTGCATCGAGAGCTGTCTGCCAGCTGAGGGTTCTGGGAAATGTTTGTAATCTGACGCTTTGGTCTTCCTCTTACTGTTTATAGACCTTGATTCTACATTGTTGGACACTCACTATGTTCCTCCCAGACTGATGTTATTTTTGAGGAAAAATGAATACACCATAGACGACATGACAGTTCTCGTTTAGCCCAGGCTGGAGTCTAGAATTTGAAACAGCTGATATTCTCTTCCTGAAATAACTAACATAAATTTGGTACTTTAAGTTGGCGTTCCACCGAGCGTGTGCTCAAATGGGTGTATCTGAACTGTGCAAAGGGTAAGAATCCAATGCTTCGGCCGGGCTGCAGGGTTGGGGGCATGAGGAGCCATTTCCTGAGACCGTGCAGGGGAGGACAGCTCAGGGCAGTGCTTAGAAATGAAGAATTTAGAGCTAACATCCCCTTAGATAGAAACCTGAGATCAAGAGAAAGCTAATGAAAGAGTGATTTTACTTTTTATGTCAGACTCACCTGAAATTGACTAGGCGCTTAATTTTACGTGTTATCATAATGTCCACAAATAAATCATGTCAGGTGAAAGCTTCCCAGAGATTTAAATTGACTGTATTAATCTCTCTTTAAAAACATCGTTACATTTCTCTGGAACACAAACACAAACGCCATGAGTCACAAAAGTATGCAATTTCAAGGTCAGTTGATACTATCACTCAAGGTTTCCCAGATATTAAAGAAAAATCCATTACTTTGTGTGTCTCTTCCTCTCCTGCTCCCCTTGCCTGACTACAACTCAATGACCTTCAAACGCAGTATCCACTGTTGCAGCAACTTTCATCTTTACCTGAGTGAAACAGAATCAATGCGTCTGACCAGCAATTCCAATTAAGCCACGATAGACAATCCTGCTGAATCTGCACGCTTTGGATTTATATTGAACTAATGAAAGCTGAAAGGGGTTCCCATATTACAGCCACAGTTAATGCATCCTCATCCAAGAGAAATGTAATTACAAGATTGCACGTACATAGTAGGTTGATCAACTTATGCAAGGTGACAACCGTGAATTGATCATGTTGGAGTGGCAATAAAAACCCCAGTGGCTATTATACAATGTGCCACTTCTGGAATATTTAATCCCCTAGAGCCTGGATGGTTCAGATGATTGGTAAGAAGATATACATTTAGAGTCACTTATGTTCGTGTCAATGGTTTAAATAGACTGGTAGGTAGTACAAAGGCAACTGCTCATGTCAGTTTTTATTATTTAGGTAAAACTCAGGTCTTAGTCCCAACAATTTATTTCAATGTGGGTAAATCCAAGAAAAAAAATATTTTTTAATATTTGCAATGAATCTTTGGAGTAAAAAAACAATCCAGGAAAAAAAAAAAGCAAAGGAATCGATAAGATGAAGTAGGCGAAGAATTATTTACCTCTGCTGTCTGGGGACTTCTGATTTACGTGTTAGACACAAAACTCTGTTAGTTTAAGTGATACTGCTTCTGGCTTTAGCTGTTCTACAAGCTGTAATCTTTTGATTTACTTAAGTTCCCAAGGAATTCAGCTCTGTGATAAGATGTGTCTAGCCTTGTAAAGTGTTTATTCACCAGTTATAATGGCTCAACCAAATCTTCTCCAGAACACTATACAGATGCATATATAAAGTTGCAATGCTAACAACTTCACTGATAACAAATAACATACAATCACAAAGCAAAGACTTAGTTGGCAGACAGCCATAATTCTTACAGATTATGAAACAAACATACATGCAAAGCTCTGTCCTCTGGCATGTGCATGAAACTTCTTACAAGAGGCAAAAGTGCCCTCAATTTTTATTTAGTGAAACGTAGTTATACTCATGTTAAACTATGCTTGCCAAAGTGTTCATGGATAAATCTAAGAATAATTTTATTCAGTCTTAGAGTAAACTTTGTTTTGTGTTTTCCATTTAAGGCCTGTTGCTTACAAAGTATAAAAACGCTGCCCATTTCCATCATTAATGCAACAATAAAACCTAGGAGAGTGTATGTAGGGTCATCATTAGTCAATAGCTTTAGGACAAATTTCCAAACTGGTATTCCACAGAACATCCTTTCAAAGGGTATTTAAAGATATGGTATTAAAAAAAACTCTTCTCAAGATATTTCATAACATTGGGTTAAATAAATGTGTGTGTGTGTGTGTGTGTGTGTGTGTGTGTCTTTGTCAGCTGTGTGTGTTTCTTTAACTACTGAACTACTGGCTTGAATGGGTACTAAGTACTGTAAATCACTGAGAGAAAATAGAGTACACAGCATTTTCCAAAACTGTTTTGATCTTGGAACACATACTTCCTTCTAGGGCTACTGGAATCTCTAGATGAACTTTTTGAGGACCGCCATTTGGGAAAGTGTTGATTTAGGTTCTGGTGTTTGTTCCAAAACATGTGTTCTGTGAAGTGTGATATAGGAAATCAATAAAAATGTGGGTCATCTGTCAACAGATGTTTTGTTGAAAACTAAACAAAACATTGCTACTGGGGAAGAGGCTTACCTTTGCTTGAAGGCAAATTCCATATTTATATTTTAGCAGAATTCAATCTGGAGCTTTTTGACATGGGTGAAAACTTCAACCACCCCGGGGTAGTCACTGTGGAAACCTGTTTTAAAAAAGAAGTCGAGGTCGGAGGGGAGGGGAGCAGGGGGAAGAGAAGGAGAGACTGTATAAAAGAATTATGCAAATATTCAAGATAAAATTATAAAAGCTGAATTCACAAATGCATTCAGTTACATGCATGTCTACCAGTTACCTCCCTCTTTCAAGTAATGAGCAAAACAATCT